TCTCTCTCTCTCTCTCTCTCTCTCTCTCTCTCTCTCTCTCGTTCTGCTCCATCTCTTTGGATCCTCTCGGTTGGGTCGTGTTGTCCTTTTCCTTAGCCTACGGATTTATGGTGGCCCTGCGATCTTTGCGACGTTGAAAGACTGGGAGTACACAGGGCAGGGGGGCTTTGCTGTCGTCTGCGGCGACTGCGTTTAATATCTGACTGGTCTACGCTGACACCCTAATCGATGTCATCTTGTGACACCGAGCGGGGCCGTGGCTCTGATTGGTGTTGGTGTTTTCGCTGTCCTTTGTGCCTTTTCCTGTGCACGCTTTTGCAGGGGAAAGCAAAGCGCCTCTTTTTCCTTTGCAGCCACCAGCAGCAGAGTGGCCGAGGGAAGGGGAAGGGGAAGGTGGACATCATCATCTCTCTCTGTAATTTAATCAAACCAATGTCATGTAAGACATAATCAAGATAAGATTGCAACGTCAGCCAGTTGACTAATATATATACAGTATTTTTATCTAAGAAAATCTTTATTATTGAACTTTTCTCAAATAATATCCCTCTAATTGATTTTATCTTAAAGTGTTCCCTCTTGTTTTTTATTCAATTTCTCAAAATATTCAACATTTTTTATTATTATCAACTTTGTTGTCGTCACTATTTTTTATTCCTGTCGTTATCATTTTTTACTCTATCGATAGTAAAGAATAAAGGAGAGGAGACGATGGAGACGATAATTATTGTGAGAGTAGAGGTGACAACCTTGTATCGATCTATTGCTTATGACGGATAAACGATTAGAGATAACAATGATAGTCAAAGCGACTAGTGAAGGACGAAAGGATATTTTTCATCAAATATACTACAAATTACCTTTTAATCCAAATATGACCTAGGATGAGCTTCTCTACGTAGGTTCTTCTTCATCATATGCCTATACTATAAATTATATTTATTGTTATATTTTATTTATTAGAAACTTATGTGCATTTCTATTGCTTACATTATAAGACAGTCGATGAACCTCCAAACCAGGGAACCATCCATTGACTGCACCAGAAAAAAAAAAAAAAGTCAATGCGGGCAACAATTAGAACAAACGTCAACGGTAGCAAACAAATCTGCCACCACAAGTCATAAATATCATATTATCCTTGACCACATGTTTGGTATAAGATCGATTCAAAGTAATTTAACACGTATTGATATCGATGAGAAATTGCACGAGTGACTTGTGAAATATCATTTTTCTTTTCCATCATTTTTCTATTTAGAAAGAACATAAAAAAAGAGATAATATTGAAATTATTATGCAGAAATGTTCAAAGGACACCACCACAAGAAACTTTTTAGAAGTAGCCTTCAAATGTGTGTCATACATATAAAGGAGAGAATGCTTCAAAGACGGCAACGTTTTGCTTACTTTTTAGTTCCCTCCCACTCGTTTCCATGCTCTTTACCACATTACCGAGTCCGATCCCATCGCTTACGTCCGCGAATATGAAACCGATGACCCATATGACGGTGGGTTGGCTACGCATTAAAGCTTGGGCGCAACCATGCATGCAGATAATTACGAGGGAAGACGCCATGCAGCTTCGCAGAAACTAACTTGGCTGCGTTAATTGCGACGGAATCCTCAACCAAGTCGCCATCTCTTACCTGTGCATCACCTTCTTCGTCTCTTTCTATAAGAACTCTCTCTGCCCCCCTCCGCCACTTCCACGTCTCGTGGGCAGCACACAGGTGATCTTGCCATGGCGGAGGATTCAATCAGTTTCCAGGACTTCTTGCCGTCGATGGCGGAGAAGCTGGGCGGCGAAGGGCTGATGGCGGAGCTGTGCAAGGGGTTTCAGCTACTGATGGACCCCGAGAGCCGCCTGATCACGCTCGACAGCCTCAGGAGGAACGCCGCCGCGCTGGGGCTCGAGGGGTTGAAGGACGATGAACTCCGGGGGATGTTGCGGGAGGGCGACTTGGACGGAGATGGAGCGTTGGATCAGATAGAGTTCTGTGTTCTGATGGTGAGGTTGAGCCCGGAGCTGATGGAAGTGTCGGAGAAGCTGGTGGAAGACGCTATGGGAATGGGGAGGTGGAATGGACCGTAGCGTTCTATTTGTCGTTGACATTATTACATTGCTGATTCAACCTCTCCTTCTCTTTTTCCTTTTTTTTTTTTTTGGGACTTTTTAGATAGAAATTGTGGTAATAAATGTAAGCACTGCTTTTCTTTGAAGGAGAAATTAATTGCATTGAAATATGATAATCTCGATAAGAATCATTGATGGAATGAATCATTTAAAATGACTGATCCATCCCACAGTCAACGCTTCCTTCCAAACAGGAGACTTGGCCAAGATGGCAGATTATTGCCGGAGTTCCCAATGCTGATAATGTTCATCTTTCTCCAAAAACAAAATAGACCGATAGGTAAAGGATTGTATTTATACGCTACAGAAACTGTATCGAGAAGAAGATGCTACGATTGTTGAGGCCAAATTGTTCTGCTATTTTGACTGCAATAATATCCTACCTTTTGATTGCGGTATAAAAGGCTTTAATTTGAGTTCTTGCTGCGACTAATGGGGGGAGAAGCCAAAAAGGGCTGCGATTGGATCAGATTTCTCTGCTAAATAGAACTGACAATGGGATGAGTGATGGAATGGAAGGAAATGTTGCTGCAAATAAAATTATCTTACTGCATGATGAAGATGAAAATACAAAACAAATAAGTTGTTGTTAATTCAAAATTTGTTCGTCCATGTAAATTTAGAAGGTTTGACCCACTGTTAGGTAAGGTCAGTTCTTGAAGGCCTTTTAACTGGTAGAGAAATGATGGATCCATCGACTTGTCGAGTGGCTCATCCTAGTGGGTGTGGTCGATTTGTCGATCGATAGAGATATTGTTCGGCTCTTCTTCTAGTGTCATTATGTTAATATAAAATTTGATTATCCAATGATTTGGAGTCCATCAAAATTCATTCCATATATATCATAGGTCAATCTCGACTAATACTACAATCAACTTTAAGGAGGTCGAATCCTACAAAATTACATCAAGATATTTTTGACAAATGCTCCTTCACTAACTTAATAGTATTAGGTGCCAATCATGTGGCAGCCACATGGCATTATTGTGTTGCCATTTTATGGTAATGTAGTAGTCATGTTGTATCAACATGACATGGCACGAATGTGATAATCATACTATGTTAATGTGACAATCACATGGTACTGACTAAGCATCCATGCCAATTTTTTCCATAACTGTTGTCGATGGCAACAAAAACATAAAATCATCAACAGTCTTTAGTAATCAGGCGGAAGAACAAAGTAGATGGTGAGAATTCAGATTCAAGAAGACAAAAAAGGACAATTCATTTTCTTCCTATGCAACTGTTTTCAAGAAAGAATAAGATAAAGAAATAATTATGGCAGGGAAGGGAAGGAAAAGAGCAAGTGCCATAGAGAAGAGGATAAAAGAATTGTGGCTAGGTGGAGTCTTTGAAGACAACAAGGTTCATTATGACATGTACTTAAATTAGTTCATTAAATCTGCAGCAATAATATCAGAAACAAACATGGGTTTCATGGAACTTGCATTTAAGTCTCCTACCTACAGAGAGGAACTATGGGTTGGCCTCTTCCAAATGAGGTGACTCTCCCCAATAATTAGTTGGGGTGGCAACAAAAAGAAAAGCTTCCAATTCATTTCTCCTCCATGAATAGCATGCTTTGTGGATGAGCAAAATATGGTGGTAAACATGGAACTTGTTGCAGGCATGGCATGGGCAGCAGTCCTTGATCAACACGAAATGTGATCTCCTCATTGCGAAAGAGCGAGGCAAAGTCGAGTCACCAAAAATGTGCCATAACTCATTTGCTTGCCTACTGCACACCCTCAATGAGATGAAGTCACCTGCAACCCTAAAATACCTTTGTTTTCTTCTCCTCCAATGGGTCAGGTGAGTCATATATGTGGTAGGCACCAAGTTTTCTTCCCTGTGGCGCATGCCATCCTCGTCAGCAAAGGACAACAGTCATCATGTTTTAGCTAACCTTCCATTGACTCTCATCATCTGATAGTGCCAACTTTTCTTTGGATCATCGCTATCCCAATACATGAAAGACATGGATTGGAGTTCTCGAACCTTGACCTGCTAACGATCGAGTGCTTCCAATCGATTCCATCCCCCATCACTCAAGGATCTGTTCATGGCATTGAAATGGATGGAGCGTGGAACTCACTGCAGCTGTGCATAACATTCGTCAGCTGTACCATAACGATCATCGAAACCCGATCCCCAGGATTGCAGATAAGGAAAAAGACGACTCACGAGGAAGAGGACAACAAATGGACGGTGATAAAAGAAAGATCATCGTGTCTACTCCTCGCTGTTCTTACCACAAAATAATAGGATGTCTTACGTACAAAGTCTTGAACCAGTAGAGGTGACATCGCTCCTCATGCAAAGCCCATGCGTCCAAGTCTCGACGGTTCAGGTTTGTGAGACGTCGCATCGATACCCATCGACGTATCTATCAGCTGAGTAACACTCTTCTTAATTAGATTACAACTTCTTCCAACTGGCGGACGGTGAGAAAATATTTATCCCCTAACGTAAAATATGATTTGCTTGTATCAACTTGAGCATATGCAAAAGCCACCGAAGTCCGTGTGGCGTTCAGTGGCATTTCCTCGAACGATTCGAGACGTAAGGACTTCACAGCACTGCCCTCGGTCTCCAAAATAGTGGAGGCACAACACCGACAGCATGGTAGTGTGGTGGAACTTCCACCCTCCATGGATTAATCTGTCATGGAATCAGTGGCTGTCCACATCTCCGTGACTCGGAAACTGGAGATTGGGTGTGGGGAAGGGCGTGGCAGCTTTGGAAACATTGCGAGACTCATTGTCCCTTTGGGTAACCATGGCTTTGGGAGGTCCGAAAGAAAGGGAAATGGAGAGATGGAGACGTGTCTTTGGGTGGGTGCAGTTGCTGCGGGAGAGAAGGCCACCGTAGCACCTCGGTTGTCTTCTCCAAAGCGACCATACGTCCATAGACAAATAATGTGGGTTAAGGTGCATCCACAATCATTGTCACCAAGATCACCGAGAGGAACCATTGTCACCAATCTTGATGAAGAATCAAGAAGGGTAACGGCGTCGTAGTGAAGCATCGTACGGCCTAGTGGGCCACTGGCATAACATCCAATCGCTGTGGTGGTAACTTAGACGGGCATCGAAACATGGGTGGGAAATGAATTACAATCGGAACAAAGGCGAACCCGTGGGGGATGAGGTCAGCCTGTCAATTGTTGCGCGTCCGACGTGGCAAGAGATTTGAGCGCGAGATTTTGTCTTCTTATGGGAAGTGACGAACCGTCCAATCCCGCGTATCATCACCGTCGGTCCCACCACGAGACACGCCTCTCTTTGATACGCCTGGCGGTGGATGGGACCCAGCTCCGTCCATACGGTGCCTCTCTGGTTTGTCAATGATAAAGCCCTGTCGCGGAATCAACGGTCCTGATTGTAGAACTTCTTCCACTCGGGTCGGTGATAAAGACGGAGACGGTAGTCAATGATACTCCTGCGGACCAGTTTATGGGTTAGCACCGGTGTGGGCCATAGCATTCTGCACCGCTCCGAGGAAGCTAAGTTTGGAATGACTAAGATACCCCTCACTCAGATTGGAATTTGCCTGGATGAAGAAAACAAAATAGTAATTTGGTGGCAGGGGGCTTAAGGGAAACGAAGAAGGCGACAAAGTAGTCATCGGAAACTTCGGGAATGAGAATATCTTCACCCACCAATTTGGTGGATGCACCCTTTTAACCCACTTTCCACAGACCATACCGGGAAGGCCTCAAGGTAAATGGAGAGTAAGAGTATCAAGATGTAGTGCATGAAAATTTTCTTTTCCTCCACACGCGTGGGCAGTAAAATGTTCACAGCCGTTGGATCGTGAGATCGCACGGATCTCGAAGAAACATACCGTATATGGGGTCGGATGTGATGGCATAAGTTGCTTGTAATGCTGTTTTTACACTTAATATGTGGACCGGATTTGACCGCACTTGATTTGATTCGGGTATGGGGGCCGGGTCCGGTACGGCAACCCGATCCGCGGACTCCACCCCGGATTTCAATCGAGCAGAGTTCCCCTCATGACCCGCCCACGACCTTATCCGGTGACCGGCCCCACCCAACGACCCGGTTCTTGCCCGCTCCCGCCCGCTACGATTTCACCGGCCCAGACCGGTCGCACGGCGTTTGAACTTTGAATTGCACGATAAAAATCCCTCGCCTACTCGTTCTACCAAGATACCCGTACGTTAACGTAGTGGGCTCCGCCGGAGCTCCAATCACATAACAGGTACATGCGAGGGACATACGATAAAATTCTTCCAGAGCTTGGGTCGAATTTTAAGTGCGTTAAATCTCTCACCCAAAGAAAAACGATAAATGAAAAGAATTTTGCTCTCATTTGCCGAGCGTTTCATTTTGTTTTCATTTGGGGCACACCGACCCCGAAGGGACCTCTCTTCTCGTCTCCCTGACCTCCTCCGTGCTCTCTCTCTTGGATAAATTAGCGATGAGGGCCGCAAGCTGCGCCGAGTTGTTTTGATGGATCGCCGATATCTCCTCGAGCTTGCAGGGGTCGCCGCAGCCGACTGGTTCTACTCATCGGATAGCTGAAGGATCGGTGGTTCTTGATCGCTTCTTAGCTCTTCTCTTCCCGTCAGCTGACGGAATCGGTGAGCTCTCCCAGACTTGCCTTGTGTCATCCTTCTTATGACCTTCCATTTCTACTGCCGAAATGAGATTTTGTTGATCCTTCTCATAGATCTATAGATTGCAGGCCTGTGTTCGGCCGGCCGCAGCATGTGCGGTGGTCCAGAACGCATAAAGTCCTCGTCGTCGTCTGTGTCATCGCTGGCTCCTAGTTCACAGGAAGACCAAAAGCAACGCTCTCCGGCCGCTGGGATGAACGTCCTCACTGTCGACATCGACAACTCTTCGAGCCTTCTCGAGCTAGCTGCTAACGACGATGTGGATGCCCTCAAGGTTGCCCTCGATCGCGACCCGTCAGCCATCGAGGAGGTCGGCCTCTGGTACGGCCGTAGGAAGGGCTTCAGTCGCATGGTGCTCGAGCACCGGACTCCATTGATGGTGGCCGCCACATACGGTAGTCTAGACGTCCTCAAGCTCATCGTCTCGCTGCCTTCTGTTGATGTCAACCGTGTCTTCGGCCCTGATAGCACCACTGCCCTCCACTGTGCCGCATCCGGCGGATCCTTACAAGCTGTTGATTCTGTGAAGATACTCCTTGCGGCCGGTGCCGATCCCACTTTGGTGGACGTCAACGGAAACCGCCCGGCTGATGTCATCGTGGTGCCTCCCAAGGTGGCTTTTGCGAAGACTGTCCTCGAACAACTACTTGGAAGGAGCACTAGTCTTTCGGATGGTTCATATCACTCCCATCTTCCTCTTCATGTTTTGACCAGCTCGCCGAACTCCAGTTCGCCACCGCTTTCTTTGTCTCCTGGCGAGGATGGTTCCCCATCGTCCGACTCCACTTCGTCTCCTCCCACGGCGAGGTTCCTCGACCTTCCTCCAGTGACCGTGTCCGAGAAGAAAGAGTATCCTGTTGATCCATCTCTCCCGGACATCAAGAACAGCATCTATGCCACAGACGAATTCCGGATGTTCTCGTTCAAAATCCGCCCATGCTCCCGTGCATATTCCCATGACTGGACCGAATGTCCCTTCGTCCATCCTGGTGAGAATGCTCGGCGGCGCGACCCGAGGAAGTACCACTACAGCTGCGTCCCTTGCCCTGACTTTCGGAAGGGGGCGTGCCGGAGGGGAGACATGTGTGAGTATGCACATGGGGTGTTCGAGTGCTGGCTTCACCCGGCACAATATCGCACGAGGCTCTGCAAGGACGGGACCAACTGCTCCCGCCGGGTATGTTTCTTTGCACACACAAATGATGAGCTCCGCCCACTCTATATGTCGACTGGCTCTGCTGTGCCCTCTCCCCGAGCCTCCTCTTCTGCGATGGAGATGGCTGCAGCGATGGGGTTCATGCCCGGGTCACCATCTTCGGTTTCTGCTATTATGTCTCCCTTCACACCGCCCATGTCACCATCGGCCAATGGTGTTAGCCAGTCTTCATTGGCTTGGCCACAGTCGAATGTGCCCATGTTGAATCTTCCTGCCGGCAATCTTCAGTCGAGCAGGCTGCGGTCATCCCTTAGCGCAAGGGACATGCCGGTAAATGACTTCTCGGTGATGTCCGAGTTTGATACCCAGCAGCTGTTGAGTGACTTGTGCTACCCCCATCCGAGCCCATCAGCGGGGAGTCGTTCTGTTCTAACCAAAACTCTGACCCCTTCAAACCTTGATGACTTCTTTGCAGCTGAGATGGCCTCATCTCCGAGGTATAATTCCGATCACGGGACTATTTTTTCCCCATCTCAAAGGACTGCTGTCATCAATCAGTTCCAGCAACAGGAAAGCCTCCTCTCACCCATTAACACAAGTGTGTTCTCCCCGAAGGCTGTTGATACTCAGCATCTACCTGCTCATTCATCCATGTTGCAAGCCTCTCTCAATGTCTCTTCACCTGGTCTCATGTCTCCACGAAGTGTGGATCCTGCCTCTCCAATGAGTTCTCGCCTGGCTATTCTCACGCAGAGGGATAAGCAGCAGCGGCAGCAGTCACTGCAGAGCCTGAGCTCGCGTGATCTCAGTCCGATTTCATCTACGATTGTGGGCTCTCCAATTAACTCATCATGGGCCAAGTGGGCATCTCCCTCTGGTACAGCTGACTGGGGAGTGAACTGCAAGGAGCTTGGACATCTCAGGCAATCATCTTCCTCTGAGATGCGGGGTGATGGGGAGGAGCCTGATGTTTCTTGGGTTCATTCTCTAGTGAAGGAATCACCGCCTGAGAAAGTTGTACCTACAGCAATGGCTCCTGCTGGCCCTTCTGACTTTTCTGCCATTGGTGCTGAGAGTTCAATTTCAAATGATCAGTTGGATGGGCATGATCAAGCTGCGGTGCTTGGTGCATGGCTTGAACAGATGCAGCTTGATCAGATGGTAAGTTGATGGAAAAACCTAAATTTTGGCTATAATGCTAGATGGGAGGTATTTCACAATAGTAACTGGGTCTAGTAAATGATATTTTTTGGTTAGTTGGGTGGTGAAGAAGGGAAAGAAGCAGGAAGGAGTAATTTCAGAGATTCATTTCTTCGAAAACAGATTTCTTGTTACTTCAAAGGGTTCAATGAGTTCAAAATGATAGGGGTTTACTTCTGGGTTATACAACGGTGTGCCCCATTTGAACCGATTTCCTATGTTTTTGATATTTTTTGCTCCTATCTTTATCTCTAAACCTCAGTATATGTTTGATGGCTACAAAACTTTGTTCCCATTTGGTTAACTATAATGTTTATTTTTGGTGGAAATGGTGCTGGTAATATAAAAAAAAGGTATCAATTTTCAAGTCCCATCTTTATTGAGGATAAAATAGAGGTTCTAGAAGTCTGTATCGAAGGGCTTCAGTTGGGGACTTGAATTGATGCACTTGTTCTGGAGAATCCTAGGGTGGTAAGCTTAGTGCACATGTTCTCTGCCTGATGTAGCATTTGTATAAACTTTATTCTCTATTATTTTAGTTCCATATATATATTTTTTCCTAGATTGATTTACATTATTTCTTTGTTATCTTTACCATATCCTTTATGTTTGTTAAATTTGTTGATGCTTTGTGTGGTGTTTTTCTGGTGATTCATAAGTACAAAGCCCTGATTCTTTCTTTTAGGACATTGGAATTGGTGGTGATGGGGCAAGCCTTTGTGAATCCGGGAATAACTGGATTGTGGGCAATATATTTTTTATGTAAGTGAGCTGTTGCTTCTCTTATTCCTTGTTGAATTTGTGGGCATCTCGTTTCCTAGTTGACTTTGTGGGGTTCCATGGGAAGCTCATGGTGGTGATTGTGGTTGGACTGAGACACTTATGCTACCCTGATGTGGATTACAAGCTTTTGGATTTTGGATTTATTTTTTTATTTTTCTTTTGTTTCTATCTTGGAGATCTATCGTCTCTCTTTTCCCCTCTTGTCACTATTTTGGAGAATTGGACTGTGACAATTGAGTATTAGGTATAGCAGTGCTGATCTGCATTCTGGTGGAAGTATTCATATATCATGCATTTATAGATGCATTATAGTGACATTAGATCACTTTGATATGACTTATCATGATCCAATCTTGATAAAGCTTATGATGGTTAAGTTCAAGTTCAAGCTGTTATTCGATGTCGGACTAAATAGTGATGCTGTACTTACCGAGACCAGGCATGGTGAGGGTTTAGCTTTCCTTTGGCAATTGAATATCTGTCCTCATCAGTATGACCTAGGGATGAAACTGGTCTTTTGATGGCTAGCTGTGGGTTCAAGGCATTTCATTTTTGTTTGATGGACCAAGTGTTCTTATGATTTGGTTTGGAGTTTTTGTTGGAAGCATATTTTTACCTTCATCTCAGCTATAATGTTACCAGAATGGATGGTTTAGCTATAGTAGTTGGACTGAGGCTATTAGCATTACAAGTACAACTTACTATCATCAGATGGTAACATTTCATCTTGCTCAATGCCTCAAGTATATTGTTTGAGTTTTGACACCTTAATGGGGACAGAAGCAGATGGATGTTATCTGATGAACAATCCAGGATAGGATACCAATCCCATGAACATCATCAAGATTCAGCAAGAAATTATCCTTGACAAAATCTAGTGATTATTTGACATGCTGATTGGATGTAAACATGTCATGTGTTCTTTATAACAACTACCCTGGCTTGTTAGATACATAAATGGGTTCATGCTATAGGCAGGCTGGTCACACCTGTGTTGCAGTTGCATTATATTGGCCACAAGGATTTGAGCAGGTGGTTCATCCAGTGTGACCAGTCCTTTTATTGATTTGTGGATATGTTGGATGATGACCAGCAACTCTATATTTTATTTTTTCTTCCTTGGTTCTTTCCTCCATATCAAATTTTGTAGTCTGATGGGTTGGTGGTGTGGAGATGGTGTGACATCTACTTCCTCCCAGCTAATGATGCTGTGAGAAGTTTGGGTGCATGCACCTAACAAGCCTATCACTGCAATGTCCAAGTCTTGTGACAGCATGAGCATTATGGCCTGTCACCAAGAACTCTGTTGAGCACTAAGAGTCATTCAAGGAAGATTGGGGAGTGGGTTTTGTAGGTGGGTTAAATTTGCTCTGGATTATTCTCTTTTGAGTTAATATTATTGTTCATTTCAGTTCCACTTTTGAGTACTGTCAATGTTGCCAGCAATGTCATGTGTTTCTGTGACTCGATGTTCATTTCCTTGAAATTCCTGTTTTGATAGGTTCCCAAAGCACCCTAAGAAATGTGGCTTTGTCTGTATTCTTCATGTTGCAATGAGCCTTTCTGGAAGTTGGAAATATAAGCAACTCAAGTTGGTAGCTTTCGATTTTAAGCTGGACTCATGTGGTTTGCCTGCCTTCTCTATGAGGCAAGAAATTTTGGAAACACTGACTCAGCGAATTCTAAAACCACTATGCATTCATTGCAAGTGTGTGACCCTTTTTTTTTGTTTTTTCTTCCGAAGGCTGTATTATTACATTGCCAAATCTGTCATTTCCTCGATCTTGTAAAACATGAATATTTCTCACAAAAAGACTAAAATATTATCATCTTTGATGTCACTTTTACTAGCCTTTTTCAAGTCATTGGCATCAAGTTAGAGGTGCAGAGATTGTGCAAAACTAAGTTAATCTTAAGTGTGTTGAAATGTAGAAAAATGTTTTTTTGTTTTTTTTTGTCTTATAAACCCATAAAAAAATTCTGGTTCTTCAAATAAAAACACTTTAGATCTTTTAATTTGTGCTTATTAATCTTTCAACAGTTCCTCCTAAATTTCCTTTTAATCTTTGCTTATTCTATTGGAGAAGCTTTTTCTTTTGAGGGTCGATCTGTCTCCCTTGTCAAATTGTTAATTGTTTTTTTGCGTGGTTAAATTTTGTTACATCGACAAAGGTTAGAGAATAAAAGTGATCAGCTATTTAAATATCAATAATAAGATTTTAAAAGAGGACATATTTGCAATATAAAAAGATTTGGAGGAGTAGTGTACCAAAACGGTATCGTGTCCTTTAGAATCGAATGCTTAAGTTAGACGTGGTTTCAAAATCATTATGCTCGAAGATACGTGGACAAAATCATTATGCTTAAGTTAGAGTTGAATCTTTGTCTACGTAGACCGTGGTTTCAAGATCATTATGCCACGTGTGGTCAGAAAACTTGATCGATATTGAGGTAAATTCGTTACGACGAAGGTACAAGGCCAAATACGCTCAAGGCGTGAGAAAACTCAACTCATGTAAAGAAACCCATCACGACAAAAGCGTAGGGCTTAATGTGCTTGAGTCGTGTGAATTGGAAAACCTGACTGCTATGGTAAATTCGCTACAATAGAGGCGTAAGACCAAGTGTACTCTCAGGACATGAGAAAACCATTATGACGGATGCATAGGGCTAAAGATTCAACTCACACGTGGCATAATAATCTTGAAATAACCCGTAATGGCACAGGCATAATACCAAATTAGATGTTGTGTTCTTCAGAGTCAACCTTCGCCCACCCGCCTACGTGGACAAAGATTTAAAACAGACAAGTAAACTTTCTTCTCATCCATTATAATAAAAAAGACAATCATAAGCTTCTTTCTTATTCGATATAATAACGAAGACAGTCCACAAACTCCTTTCTCATCCTCTAAGGTATAAAAAAATCTAAACCCAATGCAAGCAACTACTTTTAAATTACTTGAACTTATATTTGAGGATCTTGGATTACTAACTTTAAGCGTCGGAGGGACCAAGTCAGAAAATCTTTTTCAACTTCGGTCTTCATGCGGATGATACCTCGAGAATAAAATATTTTCACCTCAAAGACACTTTGGACAATCCTGTGTATATAGGCTCGGATCATGTCGGACGAACTAAGATGTTACTAATATTTTTTTCTAATATATTAATATTAGAGATAAGGTAAAGTAGAGTCAATGTCATATTGAATTAAAAAAATATACTATAATTTATGATGTTGGGGGATCGATAGTTCATTAGCCATGTGATGCCAGGCAATCGGGTATTTGACGTTAGAGTATCTTTAAATAATACTAAGAAGTTAATCATACGATACTAGAATATCGATACGTAGAGTCAGGTGTCGCAAAGATATTGAATATATAATATTAAGGTATCGATTAAACATTAATCATATCATCATTCTTTTATCATTTTAATACTTGATGATTAGGAGTTTTATTTATTTAATCTAAAATTAGAAAACTTAATGAGTTTCGTTTAAGGATTTTGTCTTCAGACGAAAAATAAAATCCTTAAATGTAAACATTATTTTGTAGTTTGGGCACAGCTTATTAGTGACGCAAAATACCGTGCGGCGAACCCCCAAAAAACAAGAAAGGGATGCAGTGAGAGATATCAGCCTCGGTTTGTGAGGCGACAAACTAAGTTAAAACTGACTTCCGATCTCTGCGGGCCCCTCCATCGAAACGGACGGTCCATATCCACCCAATCATCCCACGATTGCCGCAGCTGCGCCACTGCCCGCACACTCCAACACTCTTCCTCGAGCACGCTGATGTGGACGCTTATCCACCACCCGTTAAGACTATTGCTCTCCTCATCTCCTACGTCCGATCGCGGCCGACCCAGGTTCAAAGTCCCCTCCTCGGTGTTGCCGAAGTCCCCCGACCTTTACTTGCTGCTCTGAAGCGGCACCGAGTGGATCTCCCCGCCGAATCCGACTTCAAGCTCCCCCAGCAATGACGGCCTCCGTCCTCACCTGCAACCTCGGCTTCCACTCCCTCCCCTCCTTCCGCTGCCGCCGCCGCCGCCTTCTGCCCCAGTCTCTCCTCCCCACAACTCCCGCTTCCCCCTTCCGTCAAAGCTCTACCTTACCCTCCTTTCCATCCGCTCCCCACAAGCCCTTTCCCGCCGGATTGACGCCCACCTCCAACCATGGCCGCCGCTCCCTAATTCCCGTTGTCCGCGCCTCTGCCTCCGCCTCTGCCGCACCAGCCGCCGCCCCCGCTCCCTGGCAAGGCGCCGCTTTGAAGCCCCTCGCCGCCTCGATTGCCACTGGCGTCATCCTCTGGCTAGTTCCCGCCCCTTCCGGCGTCTCCCGCAACGCCTGGCAACTCCTCGCCATTTTCCTCGCCACCATCGTTGGTATCATCACGCAGCCTCTCCCTCTCGGTGCCGTGGCTCTGATGGGCCTCGGCGCGTCCGTCCTCACCAAGACCCTCACCTTCGCGGCTGCCTTCTCCGCCTTCGGGGACCCCATCCCCTGGCTCATCGCCCTCGCTTTCTTCTTCGCTCGTGGCTTCATCAAGACCGGCCTCGGCAACCGCGTAGCCTACCAGTTCGTCTCCCTCTTCGGGAGCTCCTCCCTCGGCCTCGGGTACAGCCTCGTCTTCAGCGAGGCCCTCCTCGCCCCGGCCATCCCCTCGGTCTCGGCTCGGGCCGGTGGAATCTTCCTCCCCCTGGTGAAGGCCCTCTGCACGGCGTGCGGGAGCAACGTGGGCGATGGGACCGAGAACCGGCTGGGCTCGTGGCTGATGCTTACTTGCTTCCAGACCTCCGTGATCTCGTCCTCCATGTTCCTCACCGCAATGGCGGCGAACCCCCTCAGCGCTAATCTTACCCAAAATACCATCAACCAGACGATCGGTTGGACCGATTGGGCGGTGGCAGCATTTGTGCCTGGTCTGGTGTCGCTGGTTGTCGTGCCCTTGCTGCTCTACCTAATCTATCCACCAACAGTGAAGAGCAGCCCTGATGCTCCAAAGCTTGCAAGGGAGAAGCTTCAGAAAATGGGGTCGATGACAAAGAACGAGTTTATCATGGCGGGGACACTGCTTCTAACGGTAAATGTTGCCTTTTTTTCCTTTTTTTTTCTTCTATCGTCCTTTCATTTAGCAAAACTTTGGCAACAACTGCGATGAGAATTCGATGAGAACTGGGATCAGTAAATTGGAGCACAGTTTGTCTCATTGCTATTTTTCAATGTTTCCCTTTGTTCTATTCATTGCTTCATTACAATCTGTAGGTCCAATTAAAGATCAACAAACTTGCATTTTGGTGAATTACTCTAATAAGTCAAGATTCAGGTCAGATTCTGATCCATTTATCTTAGAAACGGGTGAATGGAGAAAAATGGAGTACACAATGTATCTGTTTTCAGCCAATGGCTAATTTTTCATGCCTGCTGTAATTTTAGTTTATAGGACAAGACCATCGACTACCGAGTTCAAATATTTTTAACAACTGGGGTGGACTCTATTCCTGCTTTGTTCTAGTTTCTTGTCGAGTATAAATATTGAGTCATCGAATAATTGTACATTGTGAAATAGAATTCATTCTCTAAATGACTAGCAGAGCATTTCTGCTTGTTTTCATGTTCATATCTGCACCTACATGAGAACTCATGTAGAAATCATACATCATGAGTTTAGTCAAGGTAAATATCTTCTTACAAGAAACTGCTGTGTGCTTTGATCTGAACCTACATGAGAACTCATGTAGAAATTATACACCATGAGTGCAGTCAAGGTAAATATCCTCTTACAAGAAATTGCTGTGTGCTTTGATCTGCACAGGTGGGGCTTTGGGTATTTGGAGGAACACTAAATGTGGATGCTGTAACTGCTGCAATCCTCGGTTTATCTGTTCTTCTCATAACAGGTGTTGTGACATGGAAGGAGTGTTTGGCAGAGTCAGTGGCATGGGACACTCTTACTTGGTTTGCTGCACTTATAGCAATGGCTGGATATCTCAACAAATATGGTTTGATCTCCTGGTTTAGTCAAACAGTAGTCAAGGTATAATCTTCTGTCACATTGTTTTCTTCATCAAACAGTAGTCGAGGTATTATACCTTAATAGCATTTATTTCTCTACATTACATTTTCTCTTAAATTGTGAAAATATTGGTTGTAGTACTTCTGTAGGTACGTGTAATATCAAGTTATTGACTGCACCAAACTTTTCAATCAAAAGTGATCTGATCTGTTTGAACTTTCTGTTGTATCGGTCACTTTTTGGTTGCTTGGATATGAGTTAGGTAACTCACCTTATGGTTGCTTGGAGGTGAGTAATCAAATGACTCAGTCAATGCACCAATTGCACTGACATCCTTGCACCAAGATGAGTATTCACATTTAATAATCACCTTATAATAGTGTAGGATATTATATATTAATCCAGAGCTAGGCATTTCCAGAACAATGTCACATACTTGTCATTGTTTTACTTGTCCAGAACAATCATGAAGCTTGGTTTTTACTGCATAGTCCAGGGTGCTTATGTCATCAGGCATGCGTCAGCAGCATCCTTTGGCATGTATGTTTTAGGTCTTGAGCTTAAGTGCATCCTTTGAATGAATGTTTCTGTAGATGATCCATGAATATGGTTAGTGGTACTTTTGTAGGACATTAGGAACAAGTATAGAATGGATTTTCTTCACATGCAAATAGTACATGGTTGTGTACTGTGGCTATGTAGGGTTGCCTGTTAATCTTGGCTTGGGAGAAGGCTAGCTGATGCACAATCTGTGCGATTCTTTGGGTTCTTTAGAGGTATGAGTCTGAGGTTGCTCCTTTTGTGATCTAGATGACCATGGTTTGAGTTGCGAAAATAATTATCTTCCTACAGAATATAAAGCTATAGACACTATTTCTCCTCAATTTGTATCCAGTATATTTCCAGAGCTTGTCCTGTTTGACTTTACAGTGGCTGAGGGCTTACAAGTATATTGCACGCCAGCGATCACTCTTACATGATTAAAAAAATATTCTGAGCATTCTTTTAAACACCACTCTGAGCTCTAAAATACAGGTGTTAACTGTTACATTTTCAATTTAATGTTTGAACGTACAAGTGTTGACGAGTAGTGTTAGCTGTTGAAAACAGTTTCATCGTTGTGGTGATATGGTGAGCTTTGTGTAAAGTTTGAACTCGGAGATATCACTTACGACCTTTAATGTGCCCCAGATTTAGGATTAACTTTCCTCCTTGAAAGCATGCTTTTCTGTATGTTGTCGTTGAACATTTAGACCGTTAACCTTTGTTGTTATCTTCGCTCTTATTCACATAGAAATATGCTTCAATTCAGTTTGTAGGTGGCTTGGGTCTTTCATGGCAGCTTTCTTTCGGCATTCTGGTACTGCTCTACTTTTATTCCCATTACTTGTTTGCAAGTGGTGCTGCACATATTGGAGCTATGTTCACAGCCTTCCTGTCAGTGGCGAGTGCATTGGGCACTCCTCCTCTCTTTGCGGCAATGGTCCTCTCATTCCTCTCCAATCTCATGGGTGGGCTCACCCACTATGGCATTGGGTCTGCTCCGGTGTTCTACGGTGCCAACTATGTCCCGCTTCCAAAATGGTGGGGCTACGGATTCATAGTCTCTGTCGTCAATATCATTATCTGGCTCGGAATTGGGGGTTTCTGGTGGAAAACCATTGGCCTGTGGTGAAGAGAACTCCTGAATTTCTTCTACGGATCCATCGTCGCCACTGTCAATATCATTTATCTTGCTCGGTGTTCCATTGGCTTGTGGCAAAGAAAGCTTCTGAAATTTTTTTCGCTTACTGCATTAGTCTTCCTAGAGTTTTTGGAATGCTCAGAAACCTTGGTTTCCTTTTTCCAGCTTTCAACAAAATGATTTACTTGGTGGTGTAAAAAGGTGTTGCTGGAGCATAAGTTCCATGGTTATTGGACTGTACACAATTTTTCATTCAATCCGGCCAAGTTTCTGTAGTTCTACGTCTTGTTGAAAACCTGAAGAGAGATTGGAAGTTAACATCGATGCTTTCACTCTCAGCTTGCATAATGGTATCACTATCAGCTTTGTTCTTATGTACTGTTAAATTACTTTACATAAAATGTAGCTCGACTCTATGTTTCATTTGTTTCTCGGAAATTCGAAAAATCTTAGTCCCGATACAGCTTGTCATTAATTTCAACTCTTCATAGTCAATGTTAAATAGGATGGATTTGAGACCATAGTCTTCCAATAAACTCTTGTACATGAATCTAAATCGTTCCGAGTATCTAATAAAGCCAATTATGTGTTCTTTCTTCTTTTTTTTCTCCTCAAGATTTTGGAACACTAGAGTGGGGTAATGTCTCCATGATTTACTTCTCTGCTACTCATGGAAGCACCATTGGATTTGGATTGCATTGGCTATCATATTTTGATGATTAAGATGGTAACAATATTAATATTAATAATGGAATAGTAATAACCATGATAATGCTAATGGTAGTGGTAAGGATAGTAGTATTAATATTGGTAATGGTAATAGTAATGAGGATGGATAATGACACATAATTAGCATTTTATCACTACTATTATAAATATCATCATTATTATGTTCATTATCAATACTGATACTATTATCAATATAAATACCATTATTTTTTTAAAATCAATTTAAATATTATTATTATGTTGACGAACCTTCCACTTATTGGCGACACGTCCACTCGCTTCTTCTCTTTGCCAGCCCACGTGCCACCCTCCACCCCACGGCCGTCGTTTACCCAAAACCCACTTGTTCGTCGAACCAGTCGTTCCCGACAATACCTCGACGCCGACTTATCACTTATGGAAAGCCCATCTCCTACCGGTCAAACCCGTCTCCGGATAACACCAGGCGACCACGAAACCGGCCGCCTCGGAACATCACTATATTACCCGCCTGTGGTTGGCGGCTGACGAGGCCCCACGGGAGAAGTGCCGGATACGAAGGTAGAGAAAGAAGGTGCTTGCAATCTTCTTCCGCGAGCTCAATTCCTCGACGTTGCGGTCCTCAGGTCCCCTGCAGACCCTGGTAGAGAAAGCTCTCCATATATTCATTCCCTCGATCCTCCGATCTCTCCTGCTTCATTTGTCGCTCTGCACAGCACTTTACAGAGAGAGAAAGAGAGAGGTGGGGTTCGGATGCTGCAGCTGCTGTTCGCGACGGCGTTCTTGGCGGCGCCGCTGACGCTGTACGTGCCGCTGATGCGGACGCTGAACCCGTTCGTGGAGGCGTTGGAGGTGTTCTTCAGGGAGGCCGCCATGTTTTCGCGGCGCGCGTACCGGTGGATCCGGCTCGGGGTCCGCCGGATCCTCGCCGCCGCCTCCTCCCGTTCGTAGATCTTATCACTCTCCTTCCTTCTCGTGCTTTTGGGGAGGTTCGTTTGGACCCATGGATAAGACATAATACTAAATCTATGGATTCTTCCTGGTTGTATATATGATACAGTTTTGGTTCTTAGATATCTGCGAAATGAGGACATAAAACCGTGTCAATTTTCTTAAATCTTGAATCCAGAACGAGGCTCTGTGTTTGGTCTTCTCATTCCCTTGATCTCAATCTTGTTGGATTCTTTGAGGGGATCGATCTAATCTGAGACCTTGAAAGCATCTCCATCTTCTTCTTTCTTCTGTGCTCAGTGATCATTCTGTTGAAGAACTGTGATGAACAGAAGAATATATATATATAAGAAACTGAAGGATCGCATTTTGGATAATAATGTCTTAGCAAATAATTGCTAATTATAGGTCGAAAGTATACTGTCGTCGACAGGCCATAGTCTTCTGCATTCCATCGGATATCTCCAGACATCTCTTCGCCATAGTTGTCTTCGTTATGTTTGCTCTGTTTTTGGTCATCTCAATACAAAAACACGTCTCCCGTTTTCAGCCATCCATGCGTGTTTACTCTGTTTCATTTGTGCTTAATCTTTTGGTAAAATCATTAGATTAGCTTTCTATTAGCTATACAAAATTAATTCGAGATTTTGACTTTTAACTTTGAGAAAGACTCTTTTATCTTAATTAATAGTCGATAGATAGTACTTTCCAATCATAAAGCTTAAATTAATCTTCCATTTGTATTTTATTATATAGTAGCCCGACTTGAGGTGCAATCTCAAAGAGACATTATACAGATAGCTTCATGAATCAACGATAAGGCGTTCGACTTGCGCTCGGTATATAGCAGCGAATTGTTGGTAGAGCTTCAGAGGTCCCATATGGAGATTGGCAAGCTCAAGTCCTCCTCCTGCACATCATCCAACTGCGATCCGTCGTCTTGCATGACCGGGTTACCGTCCAAACCCCGCATTTCGATCAGTGTGTCCCAGTTGAAGTCGCTCTGGTGCAAGCCGAAGGCTTGTGAAGCCATCTCACTCGATACCTCCGGCGTTTGCTCCGGCAGAGTCAAGTTCCCCGCGCTCTCGCCGCCCTCGGGTGCGCTCTCCGGCTTCAGCACTCCCAGTTGCTGGAGGAATTCCTTGAGATCGATCTGAGGCTTCTCCACCGCACTCGGTGGATCTCTCTCGACCGGCAGCTGATGGACCACTTCTCGCCCTCCGTTGACCGAGCTCTCCAACCGGGTCTCTATCGGCACCACTGCTGGTGGCTCTGAACTCCGAAAGGTACTGGGACAAGAAGAGGCAGAGGAGGACGAAGAAGAACAGGAGGAGGGCTTGGAGTTCTTGAGCTCTTGGAGCCTCTGGTGGATGACATGAACGTTGTGCTGGGCATTGAGGTTGAGGAGGCCGCAAGTGGGCATCGCGGGCGTGAAGCTCTTGGAAGGGAACCACTTGAACCGATGGGGGGGCTTGCCGACGATGGAGGAGCCGATGTTGGCGCGGAGGTGGGGGAGGTTGACGTAGGCGTCGGGGCCGTAGAGGCGGCGGGCGGCCTCGTCGTAGGCCAGCGCGGCCTCTTCGGCGGTGGCGAACGATCCCAGCCAGAGGCGGGTCCGCTTCTTGGGCTCCCGGATCTCTGCCACCCACTTGCCCCAGGTCCGCTGCCGGACACCGCGGTATTCGCAGGAGGCGTTCTGGGGCCCGCCTTTGCCGCGGGCGGGGCCTTTCTTCCACGGCCGGACAGGGGTCTTTCGGAGGTTGTCCATGGAGGAGACGGTGAGGAGTGGAGCGAAGCGAAGCGAAGCAGCAGAAGAGAGGGAGTGTGAAGTGAGTGTGTTGTGTGCGTGTGAGAGAGACATAGAGGTCGAGGCGCGGGATATGTAAGAGGGAGAGAGCTGTTCGTGATGCATGGTTTAAATGTTGTCACGGTTGGAGGTAAGGCATATGGCTACCGTTAGCTGCTGGTTTGAAGTTTGGATTCGAGGAGCACACGAAGCCTAAAGGGAGGAGGACGGTCTTCTTCGTTTTCAGTCTATAAATCCTTCATTACGATCCAAATTCTCGATCGACAGCATCGATGATGTCCATAATGCATAAGATTAACAAGGGCAAAAAGGATGAGGATTTCACTGCCTTTTGCAAGGTCAAACATAGTAAAAGCTAACGTTTCCACGGTTCTTTCATCATCATCAGCAGTCCACATGAATCGATGGAGAAGATGGACTCTGGAGAGTGGATGGGGCAGAGGGTCGAACAGTATGTGCATGTGAGCACCTACCAAATTCCATCCTCATGTGAGGAAGAAGGAGAGAGCATTTTGTCGAACAGGGGGAGGATGATGGAAAGGGAAGGGTTTATTTAAGGATCCACCTCCCAAGCATTGTTGGGTTTCACGAGCGCTTGGGCTCTCACAAGCCGATGATGACGACCTGATTCCCGAGAACCCCCTACGACTGCTGCTGCTGCTGCTGCTTCACCTTATGCCCATGCCTTTGTCTCCTGGCCGCCATGAACGTACGCCAATGCTCCGGGATGGGGTGACGGAGTACATGTGAAGGCGAACGCCAGCTTCATTAACAGCCGCAGGTGAGTGAGTATACGCCACTGAATTGGGTCAACTTGGCACGATTCCGGTCAAATCGAGTTGGTGTAAACAACTTAAGCCGTGGCCTCGAGACCGACACGGCTTGGTTCGGATCCGGTTGACGGGAATCTTTTCGGGACGCTCCTCGAGACTGTTGAGGTGGTCGGTTACGGTGTTCCGATTGGGACGGGGTTGCCGTTTCCTCCGGGAAGGGGGACTCCTCGCTTAGGCGTTTAGTGGGAGACCTCTGCCTTCGCACCTGCACAAAGGTCGGGTCGGGGAGCTCGGCCCGACCCCTCCGACGATCAAGTTAGTGGATGGTGAAGGGGGTTTCTTTAGCTAAGTTGTTTCTCCGTCCTCCCTCCCTTTCCCGTTTAGAATGCGAGGGTATTTATAGGGAAGCTTACTGTGCCCGCTTATAGGGGGCAGGCTCGTACTCTTGGTAGCGTTTGACACTGGTGTTGGCGTGGCGTAAAGGACCGAGCCTGAGCAGGATGTTTAATGTGCCTCGGTCGACATTTCGTTCCGTTTGACCAGGTGGTGTCAAGTCAGCCGAGGCGTCATCTGGGGCAGCTGACGTCAACCCGAGTCTTATCGTCATTATTACCCTCATCATATTCCCCCCTCGAAGGAAGCTATGCGTCGGCTGCTGTAAAGGGGGGTCCGAGGCATGGCTTCGGCTTTGAGAAATTGTCCCAACCGGGCATTTGCTGGTTCGTTGCCAGGGGTGTGGGAATCGTGGAGTTTAGCAACTAAGAAGGGTTGGATGTGTAGCGGTGACCCCGGGTAGTGTGCGGCCGGGGAGCACAGCTCAGTCGAGCAGGCCGAGCAGAGGCTGTGGTCTCGGGGAGCATGGAGCCGAGGAGCACGACTCAGGCGGGCAGGTTGCGCAGAGGTCGTGGTCTCGGGCAGCATGGAGCCGAGGAGCACGACGTAGGCGGGCAGGCCTCGCAGGTGTGGTCTCGGGGAGCATGGAGCCGAGGAGCACGACGCAGGCATGGTCTCGGGCAACATGTGGTCGA